CCTCCCCGAGCGTGGTCCCCGCGTCCCTCCTCCGCCCGCTTGACGCGCCGCCTGTCGCGCCTCTCCCACCGGGATGTCCCTCTCCACCCTGACCACCCGTCCCCGGCGGACGGGCGTCAGCTCGCCAACCGATACCCCCTCGCTGAAGTCCCGCAGCGTGGAGACCCTGGCGGCGCCGGCGCCGGACGCCGCCACCGCCGCCGCGTCCACCGCCGCCGCCGCCGCCGACCAGCCCAAGTCCCTCTTCATGGCCTTCTACGAGAACGTCATCCACCGGACCGTGGCCCCGCTCTTCCTGATGCTGGCCACTCTGCTGTGGGTGCCCTTCTGCATTCACACGGTCACGCAGCTGGACGGGTCCTACGCGCGTCTCATTGAGTTCATCGCCTCCGAGGGCCTGGTCAACGCCTATCGCAAGTGCTACGTGGCCCCGGATGCCACCACCTATGGGATTCTGATTGTCTTTTCGGTCTTCCAGCTGGTGCTGATGTTCGCCCTTCCGGGTCGCCGTGTGGCCGGCCCCGAGTCCGAGGGCGGCTTCACCCCCATCTACCGGGCCAACGGTGTGGCCGCCTACCTGGTCACCTGCATCAGCCTGGTGGCGGTGCACTTCTCCGGGCTCTTCGACGTGTCGCGTGTGTATGACCAGCTGCCGCAGATCTTCTCCCTCACGGTCCCCGGCATCTTCGTCTTCTGCCTCCTGCTCTATGTCAAGGGCGCTCTGCTGCCCAGCAACCGCCATAGCTCGAAGCTGGCCCCCGGCGAGGACAACCCGGACTTCGGCCTGTCGGGCAACCCCATCCTGGACTTCTACGCCGGCACCGAGCTCTACCCCTACATCGGGCCGCTCAACCTGAAGTTCTACACCAACTGCCGCTGGGGCATGATGACCTGGCCGACTCTGATCATTGTGTATGCCATCAAGCAGTACACCATGCTCGGCCACCTGTCCAACCCGATGATCATGTCGGTCACCATCCAGCTGGTGTACCTGTTCAAGTTCTTCCACTGGGAGATGGGCTACATGGCCACCCTGGACATCATGCACGATCGCCTTGGCTACTACATCTGCTGGGGGATTTTCTGCCTGGTCCCTTCGCTGTACACCCTGTGCACCAACTACCTGGTCAAGTGCGTTCTCCCCTGCCTTTCATCGGATTGGCCGTGACCCTATGGCACCGGTGCTTGTGTCTCTCTCCCTCGCCGGCGTATATCTCTCTCTCTCTCTCTCTCTCTTGACTTACCTTCCTCTGTGTGCCTCTACCCTCCTCGGCCTCTCCAAACAAACGCACACGCACACACACACGCACACGCTCATCCAGCCACCCCTATGAGATCTCCAACCTCACCTGCTTCCTGGGCACCGTCTTCGGCATCTCCCTCGTCGCCCTCGAGTACCACATCGACATGGAGCGCGTGCACTTCCGCAACGCCAAGGGCAAGGACAAGATCTGGGGCCGCCTTCCGCGCCATGTGGTGGCCAAGTACATCGCCGCCGATGGCACCGAGCGCACTTCCCTCCTGCTGGCCGATGGCTTCTGGGGCCTCTCGCGTCACATCAACTACGCCTTTGAGATTGCCATGACCTTCGTCTGGACCGTCCCCTTCCAGTTCAACCACATCATGCCCTACTCGTATGTGATTTTCCTGACTGGTCTGCTGCTGCATCGCCTGTACCGCGATGAGGTTCGCTGCAGCCAGAAGTATGGCGAGCACTACGAGGAGTATCGCCGCCTGGTGCCCTACTACCTGATCCCCTACGTCTTCTAAGTGTGCGGGACCGTGTCTGTGCGCGAGAATGCGAGTGTGCGACGATCTCAAAGGCCGGCCGTGAGGCGGCGCCGCACCCCCGTCCACGAGGAGAGACGGCAAAAGAGGCATGTGCTTTTTGACGACGTCCAGACGTCGGGGAGCGTGCCGCGGCAAATGTGCAAGCGCGGGGCGTTTGCATCTTTGCCGCAGTGTGTCTCCCCCCCCCCCCCCCCTCCCTCCCCCATGGCATGCATATTCCTCCTGTCTCCCTTTCCTCTCCCCCCCCATCTCCAGTGTGGGCTCTTGATCTCCACCTCTCCGCTCCTGATGCCTGGAGTTTTTCTCGCCCCCGCCCCCCCCCTCCTCCCCCCCCTCCCCCCTTCTCCTCCGGCACGGCGCGCGTGTGCGATGGAGTGGGCCGGCGTCGCGTGTGTTTACGTGAATATGTCACCCCCTCCCCCCGCGAGAGAAAGCCTCCTGCCCCCAATAAACACCTAAATCCCTTACATGCGCCCAGCCAAACCAGCCTTCCTGCGTTGTTCTCCTGCATCCTGTCTGTGTTGCGCGTGTCATGGCCGGGGCGCTCCGAGTGGCAGGATGGGGGGAAAGCTACCTAGGCCAGGCGCCACAGAGAGGGGAGAGAGCGAGAGAGAGCGAGAGAGAGAGGGTGCAGAGCCCCTGTTCTCCTCTCCCCAGGCGGAGGGAGACAAGGCCCAAGCACGAGATTCCCCGGGTCTTAGTCGTGCATGGCGCCTTGCTGGCAGAGACAGCGAGATGGCGCAGGGCGGATCCTGAGAGAGGCTGTCATGCGGGTGGGTGACGCGGCGCAATTGTTCGACTGAGGAATGGTGCCAGAAGCCCAAGTAGTGGCGTCGTCGCCTCCGCCTGCGAGGGGGGGATGCGCGCGTGCGTGTGTTTGTGTGTGTGGACAGCAGGGCCGCTCTTCCCTGCCGGTACCCTGCCGGTTGGCTGCGGATCTCCCCGCGGATCCGGACTGGAACCGACCCCCAAGAGGGGGGGGGGGGGGGGGGAATTTTTCGCCCCCAAAAACTTCCCCCCCCCCCCCCCCCCCCTCAGTGACTGCTGTTGTGTGGTACGAGGACCCTGCCGTTGGCGGGGAAGGGAGGCAGCTCTCGCGTGCGCCCCC